TAGAATCGGGATCAAACGTTGCACATTTAAAAAATCTACACTTGTAATATAAAACGAATTTATTCGTTCCTATTTAATATTCATTATTAAGTACATTTGTATTTTATAACATCGAATATAAAAAAATCTAACAGTATAAAAACAAACGATATACGTATGCGTGTGCATGTGTATTAAAAAACTTGTGATGTGTAGGTGGTTTCGTTTTGCGCGCGATGTGCGCATGTACTTACTAGAAAATATAAAACTAAGATATACAACTAAGATATTAAACTAAGATATTAAACTAAGATATAAACTACGATATAAACTAACATATAAAACTAAGATATAATACATTAAGATATAGTCAAAAAGTATAAACTACATGAAGAATAGCATCTTAATGCGACATAGTTTGTACTTTTTAGTTTTCTGTACATTTCTACACATTTCGACATGTTTATATGCAATATGATCCGTTATGAAGAATAGCGTCTTGATGCGGAATGGTATGTACTTTTTAGTTTCATGCGTACTTAGTAGGTAGAAAATAATCGTACACGCTGCAGAGAAACGGATAGACCATGTAAAGATGTTGCAGCCTGATAGAAGTTCCTCATCCTTTAGGACACGAGAAAAGACACACAGATTGTAAATACATTTAAAGGTATAAAAAAAGATGAGATACTTGATGACTGCTACTCAGTCTCATCCAAAACGTCACATCTAAAACATCTTCAGCAAACATCGTATGCGATGGACATTGTACGCGAGTGCATTGAAATCAATGAATGGTTTTACCAACGGCATTTGCGTTAACGTACGCGATAGACGCGCTGATAAGAAAGATTCGCCAATTGCAGTGATTGATGAAGAAAGTCCTAAAGAGAAACGAGGAGGCAGAAATCGAATAGGAGGATGGTGATCATCTCCCTCACAACTTGTAAGTATATCAATAATATTTTTAACACTATACGAGCCAATTGTTTTAACTACACCTATCCGGTACGGCTAGCTAATTTTCAATAGTTATACATTATACTCTTATGTTTCAGGACAATAGCCAACAACATCATGAGGGAAACGCTACAGATCCTCCAGATAGGAATTTCGCAAGTAGAGGCAATGAAGAGATTGATGAACACGGCACTTGGCAATCTAGTTATATATGAGAACATTCCTCCAAACACTCCTCCTCCGTCTCCGGAGCCGCAATAGATAAGAGTACTTATTATATAAACATTAGCCATAAAAAATATAATACTGTAATGTGTATTACATACTAATTAATATATGTATCTTGTTACTCAGGAACGACCTCATCAGCCAATCTATCGCCATGAGAACACACACACACACACACATTTGTTTAGGTATAAATTTTTATATGCGTATACCTTGTTTTTTAATATATATATCTTGTTTTGGTATATATCTTAATTTATATTGTAGTTTATTTTTTGTTTATATTTTAGTTTTATATCTTGTAGTTAATTTATATCTTAATTTATATCTTAGTTTAATATCTTGTTTTTATATTTTAGTTTTATATTTTTAGTGAATACATGCGCACATCGCGCGCAAAAACCGAAACCACCGACATATCACAAGTTTTTAACATACATGCACACGCATACATATATCTTTTGTTTTTATACTGTTAGATTTTTTTATATGGGTCGATTTTATAAAATACAACTGTAATTAGTAATGAAAATAATATTATCTTACAATTACTGACTTTACGTTCAATATTGTTAATTACAATGAGAATTATTCTCTTTTTATTGAGAATACAAATTAGTTCGGTCCGTTTTTTTGTGTGCAAAAATGCATTTATTTTAAAACAAAATGAATAAACAGATTAATTAAAGTATTGTCCATCGCTGGCTACTAAAAGGATAAAGGATAAAGGAAGTTTAATTGATTCCCCTCAGGGTTACAATATTGTTCAACACTCCACTTCTATATCCACGATCCATTTGTATCCACGATTTATTCGGAGGCCCGATTCAGTTCGCTTTTCAATCGATAAACTCGACTTGAAAGAGACCGGCCCGGAAAAATCCGACGATGTGGATTCGAACTCGGGACTCAGGCCGCGAGACCACTGAGCCGGTCCATCGCTGGCTACTATTCTTTCCCATCTCTCAGGCAATATTCGAATTTCATCTCGAAAAAATGACTTGTTTTTGGAGGCGATCCAAGTTTGGAGCCAATTTTCGATTTCTCCGAAAGAAGTGAACCGGTGACCTGCCGAATCGTGCTGCATCTTTCGGAATCAGTAATCAGAAGGAGCAATGTCCGGAAAATACGACGGGTGCGGTAAAACATCCCATTTGAGCGTTTCCAAATATTCTTTTACGACTTTTGCGACATGAAGCCGAGCGTTGTCATGAAGAAGAATAACTTTATCATGTCTTTGCTCGTATTCCGGCCGTTTTTCTCGCAATGCACGGCTCAAACGAATTAATTGTAGCCAATACTTGTTTGCATCATAGCCATCTTCTTGGCTAAAATTGCTGATGCGTTCTTGCTATGATGCAGGTTAATTTGTGTCATTTGGATGCTGAGAGGAGCCATTTTAGACAGTCTCAACACTCTCTGACACCTCTATTTGTTTGGTGGCCTCTCTGCGTTCCCGGCTCGCCACCACCTTAACGGTGGCACGACCTGTTTCGCAGAAAGGTCTGAAACCGCGGTTCTTTAGGGCTTTCAGTGAGGAGTCGCCAATCAGACAGACAAAGCGGGCGCTCGTGGCATCCCTACTACGACTCTCCCGACGACGACCCATTCATTGGTTGCCAGTCCCGTGTTTTATTGGTTGAGGAGCTTCAAGGCTTTTTCCACCTCTACATCAGGCTCCTCCATGTGTATCACTACTCGATGACGCGGACTCACCGGCCGCCAACACACGCAGAGAAGTTCCTTTAATCCTTTAATTAGAGGAATGACTTCTAAGCCACTCCTCCGACTTTTTACTGGCACACACTATTACCAGTGCCTCATCAATATCCCAGATGCCGAATAAAGGTAGGGGCTTTGGGATCTCCGGACATGCCGAGGGTGCGAGACCTGACCAATTTCTTAATCTCCAACCCCTCATTAGATCCTAATTTCTTGTCAGGATAGCCCTCCAACACTAGGACCACCTTGATAGTTCCTGTCGTCACCTAAGCATAAGACCCTTCTTTTCTGGGTCTCTTGTCCTGGCAATTGGTTGCGGGGCTAGGGATGGCGTGCTCCGGTATGGCGCGTTTCGCCGCATCCCCTGGAGCCCGCCCACTCCCAGTTCCTGTTTTTGGATCAGAAACAGTATGGATGTGAGGGGTTTTAACAGCTATACTCTCCCTCGCCTGTCTCTTGTTTCTTAAACGACGCCTGGCGGCACTGCTGGGTCTTTTGCGAGATGGAGCCCGCTCTCATCTCGTTTGGACTCCTTGGTTGTTTGCTTCCGGAAAAAGTTTCGCCCTTGGAAGCTTTGGAAGGGATGATTTTATTACTGCCATTTATTTGGGTCCCACAAGTATCGCGGTCGCGCGGTCTCACCCAGCCAGAGCCGCGTATGGCTGGGGCTTGTCTCCGTACTCCTGGATTTTGCCCGGTATCCAGGAGGCACCTTTCAAGACGCAACACCTTTGTGCCACGCAGCTTTTGGCACGGTTGCTCACACCTTAGCTTCCTCTTAGTTGGCTGCGAGCGGACCCACTCCTGAGTGGGTGACTACCGCCCGCAACCGTAAGCCCCACCACGTTCTGGCGCGAGAGCCCAGAGCCCCCGAGGACGTCAAATGCTCACCTTATGTGGTCAATATTTGTCCCGTCAGTTTACATTTTTATTGTGGCAACAAGACCGGGCAGATCTGCCAGCGTCCACTCAGGGCTGATGATTAATGCCTGGCCACGCCGCCACTAGCACATGCTAGGAACAAATACGTTTTGTGTAGCTACTGCGAGGCGGCCAGACCACGTGCACACCGAGCGCTCCGCGGACCCGGGGCTCCCGCCTCGGAGCTACTACAAGATGGGAACCCATTTGAAGAGAGCAACTAAAACAAATAATACTTACCCTTGATGAAACTTCTTTCTCTTCGCACCGTTGTGTTCGAGGCGCGCGCTGAAAATCGATGGAAGGTTGCTTCATCGGAACCATCGAGCAAAACATTGTCGAGCTGATTGTCGCGAAGAGAAGTAAAAGAAAGAGCAACAACTCGTAGCACACAGAACGATCACAGCGAGACTGACTGTATGGTTGCCATGTAGCGGTTTATATATTCCTAACATAAATAAAAAAATTTTCCTCACTCTCGACGCACATACATTCTATATCTACCCTGAATAAAGAGCGTGTTCGTACTTTTCAAGTTGAGAAACTAGGGACTTTAAGTTGTATAAGATGTTTATATCCGGACAACGTATATCAATTAATCTCATAGTGAAAAGTCCCGCAGAGTGCATGAAATTGATGAATTCGCTAAACGCGAGATATCTCTCGGAGTACAGAAAGTACACATTGCCATTTGAATTATGGAAGGCCAGTGACATACTTGGCGGAACTCCTGGAAACGTTAGTTTCAAATTGCTGTATTCCTTAATCCTCAAGTGACAATCGTTTACAACGGCAACAGAGTTGTTGTTGAATATGATGTAGGTGTGTGTTCCATAGAAGATTGAAACACAGTATTAATAACAGTATTGCTAGAAAACCCAATCTCAGATAAACTGCGTGGCCAACCGTTTTGCAATTGTAAACTGGGATAGGAAATTAAGTTCACGTAACCATCGGTGAAGAGCACGAGCTTGCCGGATGGTCGCTGATAAGCCGCATCCAATTTTGTAAAATTAGATGGAAGAAAGTGCAAGTATTCGGTCAACAGACGTGGATAAATATGCGGACCCCAGTTCGAAGAGGCTATATACACATATTTATCATACGCAATGATCGTAATAGTTTTCATCAAAAGTATTACATCAGGATTGCGCACTTCGCACACATGCCTAGGTGGTAGCGACTTGGGTTTACGCGACAGCGACGGCCGTCGTTGTCGTCGTAGACGGCGCGATCGTCAGAAGGGCAAATGTAGAAACCGGTAGTAGTTCAGGTGCATTCGAGTTAGGTCCGTAATGGTTTTGCATAGCCAGAACATCATTCAAGCTGAGCGTAACAGGCCACTGTTTAATAGGCATAAACGCGTACATTACCGAATCGGTGTGCAGACTGTACTCCATTCCTATTGCATGGCCGATCTCATGAGTCAGCGTATGCAACAGATGATCCTTATTCCATGGATTTTCAGTGAGCTCCACATGCCACTGTTCCGCATTGTCGATATATACCTCAGATACATGTTTGAGATCTTTGTTGGGATAATATGCGTGAGCGAGAACTGCACCTTGACCATCAAAGTCAAACAGACACACGTTTTCTGAGTAATGCTTGTCCCACATAGTATGCCGTCCACTTTTATACGAAATCATTATGTTAGGATTCTGCATGCTGCGTGTAAAAGTCAGCGAAGAATTCGCTGTCTACAAAGCAAACGCTGTCTTTGCTACTTGTAGATTTGCTCTAGAGGCAGACAGAAAATTCATGTAAGATGATTCGTCGACCACTTGTATATATGCTCCTTGTTCGAGTGACGCGTCTCGATGTCTTGACCGCAACGCGGTCTGTTCACTGCGCGCATCGTTTCCACGTTTAATTCACCATCTATAGGTAGATCGTAGAATTCCTGAAAAAGCGAGACAGCGTGACTCAACGCGCTCTCGCAAATCAACGAGTTATCTACGTCATCTTTTAGATAACCGTACTTGCGTAGGAACGCGATAGCGTTCTCTCTTCCATTGACAACGTTCCTCTTTGTCGTCGTCGTTGTATTCATCATCGAACTCGTCGACGCGATCGCTGTCGCCGTCGTCGACGCGACGAGGAGCGTGAGAAATGTCAACGGCAACACGAGCGACGTCATTGTCTTCGCGCGCGAACTGATACTAAAAAACAATTGATTGCCGCGCGGTAGCGATTGAAGAAGAGAGGTCGCGACAATCGCAATATATTTTACAGAACAAACAACAACAATGTATGTAGTATTTGCAAATAAAAAAGCTGTTACACGCATGACAATATATGGGTTGGTGGAAAAGTTCTGCGGATTTTTTAATAGATGACACTAGTGTCAGAAAATACTTATCGCGTGTCGTTCAAATGTCAGTCTGCCGCACATATTTTGACAAGTCACACTACGCTTGACATTTGGCAGAAGTGTTCGTTTTGGATGTGTTTTGTGTGTACGGCATACAACCAAAGTGGAAGATCAAAAATTGCATTTTTGCCATATTTTGCTGTTTTTATTTCGTAAAGGATATAAAGCGGCGAACGCTAATCGCGAAATATGCGCTATGTATGGTGTTTTGGCCTTAAGCGCAGACACATGCGAAAAATGATTTGCTCGTTTCCGTTCCGGAGACTTTAACTTCCAAGATGCACCGCGCTCTGGACGGCCAAATTCTGTTGACGACGACCAACTCCTGGCTACAATAAAGAGTGATCGACACTTAACGACTCGAGAGATTGCGAAGCGTTTCGGCATTCATCATACAACCGTTATGGATCGATTAAAAAAGCTTGGCATGGTGAAAAAGCTTGATGTATGGGTGCCGCACGAACTGAGCAAAAAGAACATCATGGATCGGATTTTAGTGTGTAAATCTCTCTTGAAACAAAACATTCTAGACCTATTTCTGAAACGGATCATCACTGGAGACGAGAAATGGGTTGTCTACAACAACATTAAGCGGCGGAAGTCGTAGTGCGGTCCGGGCGAGTCTTCACAAACGGTGGCAAACCCTAATTTGCATCCACAGAAAGTAATGCTATGTATTTGTTGGGACTATAAAGGAGTGCTGTGGTTCGAGCTGCTCCCGCAGGACCAAACAATAGATTCAAAGAAATACTGCGCTCAGCTCGACAAATTGCGCAATGTAGTGCAAGAGAAGCGGCCAAAATTGTCGAATAGAAAAGGTGTGATTTTCCATCATGACACCGCTCGACCACATACTTCTTTAATCACAAAAAAAAAAATTGCAGAGCTTTGGCTGGGAAATTATGCAGCACCCACCATATTTGCCAGACCTTGCACCGTCTGATTATCACTTGTTTCGCTCGCTGCAAAACAATGTTGACGGTCATCAATTCGACTCAATGGAGGCCATCCGAAATCACCTCGTTGATTTTTTTGCCTACAAATCCCGAAGGTTTTACAAGAGCGGCATCAAGGCCCTACCGAAACGTTGGCAACAAGTTGTAGATCAAGACGGTCAACACATTGTGGACTAAATTAATTTTTAGAAATGTTGATTTTGTGTTGAAATTTTATATTAAAAATCCGCAGAACTCTTCCACCAACCCAAAATTTAGTACAAGAAAAACCGCAACGCGAGCCAGACGGCTGCAGCGGAAGCGTCATCGTTGCTGGAAGTCGCGAGAAGTTTTATATAGAGTTGCATACGGAAGTTGCGGCTGATCGCGCAAATGCAAGATGCATGCTAAGAATAACGCATAGTCTTCAGAATGCTACGGATACTGCGGACTGACTCCGGAGATGCTCTATTGTTCTCAGTACTGTTTCTAAGAAAAATAGTTCTGATTAGAACGTCCAACAGGATGTTGAAGCATCCACAAAATCCGTAAACTACATATTGGTAATGAATTTAATTTTGCGCGGGTATACGAGTGGACGTGCTGGGGGATAAGCATCCGCTGGAACAAACTATAAAAGGATAATGCGTACAGAGCAAATAAAGTAGAAAGTTCTAAACACGCCCAGCAATGGATAGATTAGAGGAGTGTGTTGATGCAGCGGACCGCATTGTGGCTGCTGCCAAAGCTGTGGTCTGTAAGACCAGACAGTTGGCAAATCAAATCAAAGTACAGAAGATCAACCAAACAAATATGGAACAAGAAAAAGAGTTCTTCTTCATAATTACAACAAATCTTACGTATTAGGCGATTTTACTACAATTGTAAGTGTCACAAGAAGAAATGAGTGAGTGAGTGAATGAGTAAGGTGAGTGAGTGAGTGAGGTGAGTGAGTGAGTGAGGTGAGTGAGATAAGTGAGTGAGGTGAGTGAGTGAGTGAAGTGAGTGAATGAGTGAGGTAAGTGAGGTGAGTGAGTGAGTGAGGTGAGTGAGTGAGTGAGGTGAGTGAGTGAGTGAGTGAGTGAGTGAGTGAGTGAGTGAGTGAGTGAGTGAGGTGAGTGAGTGAGTGAGGTGAGTGAGTGAGGTGAGTGAGTGAGTGAGTGAGTGAGTGAGTGAGTGAGGTGAGAGAGTGAGTGAGTGAGTGAGTGAGTGAGTGAGTGAGTGAGGTGAGTGAGTTGAGTGAGTGAGTGAGTGAGGAGTGAGTGAGTGAGGTAAGTGAGTGAATGAGTGAGGTGAGT